TGTGTGCATTCCATATGCATTTGGGAATCCTTTGAGAGTTAGTAATGTTACAAAAACTGAAGGAGAAAGGGAATAATGAAGGCAGGCAGAGGGCCAGTTTAAGCTACATATAGTTTGATTCAACACAGCATCTTGGGGCCACATTCAGATCTGAGGAGCTCATCTCAACCACACACTTACTTTGTATGCAGTAGCATTTAGGCCAGGAGAATTGCTGATGGGGTGGAAGCTACTCAGCCTAGACAGAACAAGCACAGGATTTAGGAAGAGATCTGGTCCCATCCCTCACTGCTGTTGTTACTTCCATTTGACTACACAATCCTTACCTCATCTGATCAAGGCACAGAGTCTCTCCTTGGGCAAAGGAATCATATGGCCACATATTCTGATGTCTTTACAGTCTTCAATCTTATCATAATTTCTTCACGTTACCTACTGACTGCCTGCATTTAAAGCACATCTGATGTTATTAATGAGTTTTCTCAATTAAAAATAATTGATGACAAATGTGAAAATTCAATTTTTTCTATAGAAGAGAAACATCTGTATGTTCTAATTAAAACTCTAAATGTTGTTGCTGTATAATAATGCCAAAATTAACAAAGATACATAAAATAAATCCGATTACTAAAGACCAACAGAATGAAATTCAAAGACAAGATGAAAATGTATCATTATAATGTTTTATTGTGTATGTATACTGCACACAATTACCACATAAAATTCTAATCTAAATCATCATAAACTTCTATGCCACATGTTCCAGTGTTAAGTGTCCAGGAATGGAAATTTAAGAATTAGCTGAGTGTTCAGTTGTCTTTTGCTTTTCGGACTCTGGAAATCTGCATGGTTCAAGATCCTTTTGTTTGCTTTCAAGAAAAAGGGAGAATTTGTGCCATCTGAAAGGTGAGACGAGACAGCATATTTTAGCAAGACAAAGGTACACGAGTCAGAGCTATTTGGCAACTCTTTTACTCCTTCGGAGCAAGCAGTTTAGACTCCCCCAGCACTGCTGTTTTAGGTGGAAGGTTCTGCATTACCATTTACAATGCTGCCATCTATTGACGTCCGTGGGCTTTTATGTCTTATAATCTATTTTCCCTCAGCAACTTCTTGCACTTTTATTGTTTTTCGTGATGGGATTTATCTGGCTAAACATACACAACTGCGATAAAAGCACCTTGTGTGAATTGCCTCAGGCTTCCTCGAAAATCAGTGGAAGAAAAAAGCACTTCTGGGGTGTGATTCATTTCTACCCAAAGTAGATAACCAACATATATCAGATGAACAGCACCCAAAAAGCACTACTGTGCTTTGCCCGTGGCTATAATGGTATCTGAAGAGTGACTAGCTCAGGTGTAGAGATCACTGTCAGACTGTAAGTAAGCACATAAAGACAGCAAAAGAAATGCTACTCCCTTACTCAGTGAAGAAAGTTTTCAGGGATGCTGCTTGCTGATTTTTAATTCATTGACTTGTATCCATGTTCAATGAGGCCACAGGTGCTACAGAAGACATATGCTATCTATCTACATCTAACTTTGAATAAGAGTAATGTCATTTGGTGTAGATATCCAGCTCCACTTCTTATTTTCTTTGGCAGTAAAGTTGTCTTTAAGATATTTCTACCTGTCCCCCAACTCTGCCTCTAGTAGCCTGTCCCTCAGAAAGCTAAAGGTGATTAAGTGTCACACTAGTTTCGCGCACACAAACTCATGCACACACTCGCTCCCTTCCACACCTCCTGCCCCGAAAGGGGTATCAATCTTCTCCTGTAAATTTTATGAATTGTAGCTTCAAATTATACAAGAGCTAGACCTAAGTAGGATCTGTTTTAATCCAAACATGGAATTTGCACCATGGTTGGAAATCTGCTACAAATAATGTATAATATGATTTTGTCTTAATAAAGGACAAGCAGAGTCAATAACTGCAACACTTTGGCCAGCCAATAATTAGACCACAGTTCTAAAGGTGACTTTTCTTGGATTATATTTTGGATTATATTTAACTCAGTAGAGCATCACTTCAATAACACAATCTTCACAAAATAATGGTCTACATACAAATTCTCATAAGTTTAGCAGAAGTACATTTGTGTGTAACAGATGCAAACTTCTTGAACAGCAGTACAAGAAAAATAGGTTACTGCCTACTTTCCAACTTCCTATCATTGCCCCACTGTTCTGTAAACTTCCACCCCTTCAGATCTGATGCCCAGAATGCTGTTTTCGACTTATATAAGCAGTAAAGTGCATTGCAGATTTAAACTTTCTACATTTTTTTACAAAACTCCAGTCATTAAACTCATTGCTTCTTAAAGAATAAGTTAATTAAATTAATTGGCTAATTAGTGAACCAGAGTGGCCAACAAATGCTTTCTAAGATGTCCAGACTTGACAACTTCAAATGCTGCTTCTCATGAAGAAATTTCCCAACTCTAATAGCTGGTCTAGTCTAACATTTCACTCTCTTGCCAGGAAACATTTGCCAGCAAATAATGTCCTTATTTTCAGCCTATTGGAGCAACACCGAAAGCTGCAGAGAACACAGTCATGGGAGAAAGTAGTTCCAAAGGGACATGCTGCGTTATGGGACACCATTGATAAAACTGATCAATCAAACCAAAGCTCCCCTGTCATGTATCTGGCACTCAACCTGCAAGAGAAGATCTCATGTTGGGATAAACAGGAGCTGCACTTCCCTCACCAGCATTAGCTTTGAGAAATAAATTGCAGAGGTATTCACTCCATTCCAGACCCAGATTACATTTTTCATGTGTCATGGGTGTAGAAGAAAAGTATTTACAAATCAAAAATTAATGTGAGACCTTCTCTAGTGTTGGGTTGTTTGAGGGCCTGCATAAGGGTGTTGTATTTAAAAGCAAAAGCAAATTTTATGTCAGGTTGCTCCTTCTCCTCTGATAAGGTAGACTTTAAACTCATTAATTATCTACGTGGGTTTCCAAGGAAAACACAGCTCCTGGAACAGCAGATATTTTGTGGAGCAAAAGATTCAGAAGTGATCAAGTGAAAGTGATCAGGTGAAACAGAGAAAGAAATTAGTCTTCAGCAGGCAGGAAGTTCTAATCTAACTGTTCAAAAATGTATATAATCAGAGGTTTATTTAATGTAATAGTAATGTATATCTTGTAAGACAGATAACTTTTTTTGTCATTCCAGACAATAACTGTGCAACCACAAATATACATAAGTAAGGCAGGTAGCAGGGAATAAGTAGGAAGCAGTGAATGAAGAGAATGTGCATTTTATAAGTAAGACTACCCTAAAATAATAGTCTTTCAAACTGAAATATTACAGAATAAGAACAGCATGATTCCATTTGCAAAATCTACATAGCGTTACTTGAAATCTTTGCTTGTGACTGATAAGGTTAATAAAACCAACACATGTGCCAAGTCTTTGTGCAGTGTGCCTTGATGCCTTTCTCCCACACAAAGTACAGCAATAATTCATGTCTTCATTTTAATATATATGTAACATAAGAATCACTTCATTGAGTCCAACCAAAGGCCACGCTTATGTGTTACAGCCCATCCATGAGTTGTCTAGAGAAGGGCACAAATGATGGGGTGGCATGGTCTGGTGAGAGTATTGTGCTATTCAATACAGTAGAGCTGAGGGGTTTATTGACCATGAAGAAACACACAATAACATTATGGCACCTATGAGAGAACTGGGTTTGTTCAGCCTGGAAAAGAGCAGGCTTAGGGGTGACCTAATTACAGCTTCCAGTATCTGAAGGGAACTTATAGGAAAGATGGGGCAAGATTATTTACAGGAGCATGTAGTGACACGACAAAGGAGAATGGCTTCAAACTGACAGGGTAGGTTTAGACTAGATATTAGGAAAAAATTCTTTACTGTGAGTGCTGTGAGGCACTGGAACAGGTTACTCAGAGAAGTTGTAGATGCCCCATCCCTAGAAGTGTTCAAGCCCAGCTTGGATGGGGCTCTGAGCAACATGGTCTAGTGAAAGGTGTTCCTGCCCATGGTAGGGGGCTTGGAACTAGATGATCTTTAAGATCCCTTTCAATTCAAACCAGTGTATGATTCTATGATCCTATGATTCTATGTTAATAGCAGACAAATTTAACATAGATAATGTGAAATGCTACACAAGGGAAAACACAATGGCTGTTCCACTGGCCATGACAGGTCCCCAAGGGGCTGTTCACATGAAAATAGTAGCTCAGTACAGAACCTGAACAGAAAATTTAGAAATTAATTAGGGAAACAAATAATAACCAAAGGGTGAAGTATGACAGTGCCACACCACCACCACCACTACAGCACACCCAGGTTTTGAGTAACACTTCAGCTTGTGGAGCACTCTGGGACTAGAGGCAGTAATGAGACTGGGGGGGGAGCAGGAGCTCACAGTTTGTCCAGAGAAGGGCAGCGAAGGTGGTAAAGGGTCTGGAGCACAGATCCTATGAAGAGCAGCTGAGGGGGTTGGGGTTGTTTAGCATGGAGAAAAGGAGGCTCAGGGATGACCTTATTGCTCTCTACAACTGCTTGAAAGGAGGGTGTAGCCAGATGAGGGTTGGCCTCTTCTCCCAGGCAACTATGACAGGACAAGAGGCCATGGTCTTAAACTGTGCCAGGGGAGATTCAAGTTGGACATTAGGAAGAATTTCTTCACAAAAAGAGTGATTAGATGCTGGAATGGACTGCCCAAGGAGGTGGTGAAATCACCATCCCTGCAGGTGTTTAAGGAAAGACTGGACTTAGCACTTGGTCTAGCTGACATGATGGTGTTCGGTCATAGGTTGGACTCGATGACCTCAGAGGTTTTTCCCAACCTAATTTATTCCGCGATCCTGTAATTCTGTGAGCTCACAGCGCCATCTCCGTGAGGGGCAGGCGGCCCCACGGCGCAAGTCCCCCTCCGCAGAGGCGGCTGCGGGTCCCGGCGGCGCCTCCCGCGCACCACGAGATGGCGCCGCGGGGCCGGGGAGCGGCCGGGCGGAAGCGGCGGGGGAAGCTGCGCTCGGCCCCGCCGGAACGGAGGGAGGGAGGGAATGCTGCAGCCGGCCCTGCTCGGTTCCATTCGCCCGCCAGAGCCTCAGGCTGCCCGGGTGGGTGCGGGGACGGCGGAGGGTGGTGGCGGGAGCGAGAGAGCCAAGGGCTCGGTGGGGAGGTGTGGGAGCCCGGGCGCCTGGCGGGGCGGAGTGGCGGTGGTTGTGGCACCATGCGGTGGTGGTAGCACCAGGCGGTGGTGGTGGCACCAGGCGGTGCTTATGGCACCTGTACGGGCGCGGGGCTTTTCTGTTCCTTTTCTCTGCAGCATGTCGGCCCCGGTCCCGAGGTGGCAGTGAGGAAGCTCAGGCGAGAGCAGTGCTCTGTGCGCTGGGGCCGGGGTAGCCGGGGCACAAGGCCTGTGTTCCTGCCACCCCTCGGATGTAATTGTTTGCCCTATTTGCAGAGGCGAGAGCTGCCCATCGCTTCTGTGAGCCTTAGAGTCACTGGCCAGAGTCTGGTCACGACATGTGTGCCAACAGGAAATGAACTATGCTTTCAAAAGCAGTAGCGGCGAAGTCTCATTCTTCTCCTTGTTTCTAACTAAACTGACCGGCCATACACGAAACATATGTTTACTGGGGCTACTGATAGTTGTACAGCTTTTAGCACTTTGCTTTTAACCTCTGACTTTTGGCCCAAATAGCTTTTGGGTTTATGTCCTGGACCTCAGAGAATAAAGACCCTCTTTTGGGTAGCCACAGATGATTACACTGTCTCAGCCTCTGCTCAGGCCAAAAGACCCATAATAAATAAGCTAAAGCTTGAAAACATTACTTTGCCTTGTGTGTAATTTGTATCCCTTCCATCCACAGCAATTGCTGCTGTTGTTGTAAGGACACTGGTGTGAACATCATAGTGATAGGTGGGTCTTCATAGCACTCCTGTTGGGATGAGAAGCAGCTGTAACTCTACTGTAAGTGCTGGACAGGTCTTGTATTTACAGCCATTCCCTAACAAGAATCAGTGTATAGTGTTGGGAATTTCTACCCCTTCTTTTTTAAGGGATATAACTTTTGCTGCCAACTGTCTCAGCAATCACAGGCTTATATTTCTCCATGACTGTAACTAGGGCGCTTCAGTATTAAAGTTAACGTCACAGACTAGCAATGCACAGTATTAATCTGAAGCACAGGATGTCAAACCGCTTTTCAGACATTTCCCTCTTCTGTTGGTAATTCTACACCAAGAATAAGCATCAGAAGTATAAAATTAAATAAGTGTTTAGGGGAGGATGCACACACTTGCTGAAATCAGGAAAAATGTACCTGGAAAAGTAATTCCTGTATGCATATTCTACTATCACGTTTTACTGAGCATCTCTTAACTAACCATTGCCAGAAGCTGGATGCTGAGTTAGGGACAGCTCTGGCCTGACTGAAGAAACGTCTCACAGGAGGGACAAAAGCAGCAGTGGGTTGAGGGGATGGTCAGCTGTCTGTTGTTTGGGGCATTTCTGACTCAAACATAGTTGGTGTTTTCAGGAAAGCTTTGTGTAAATGTGTTTCTTGAAACCTGCTGAATTTAATGACAGCTTATCATAACACCATGCAACAGTTAATTAATTAATCTTCTGTTGATCAGTGTTGTGAATAGTTGAACCCTCACTGATCCCACACTGAGCTGTGAGTTGTCCCTGTAACCTCCAGCGTGGCCACCGTGTGGCAGCGCTGGATCCAGCACACTGCTAGTCCCAGAGTGGTCCCAGAGTGTGACTTATTTACCAAGTTATAAACCCCAGTGTGTCGTGGTTGTGTCTCACGATATGACAGACAAGGGTTCAATTTCTGTTGACTCCAAAGGAATTAAATGCTGTCATTGCTTTGATCAGATTTGTTTATTTTCACTGATGCTCACCTGCCTCAAGCTGGCAAGGGGACAGGCGTGTTTTGACGAAAGGGAGTACATCCCTGGTTAATTATCAATGGAGAAATACTTTAAAAATGTGAAAAGGAAGTAAATAATAGTAATAAAAAATTCCATCGTTAATGAGCAGCAGAGGCAAACAAATCTCCTCATTTTAAATTCTATAGTTGCTGGTGAATTTCATATGTTCAATTGCTTCAATATTTTATTTTTAAAAGTGTAAGCTATAGAAGTAGACATATCACATTTGTTTTCTGCTGCTTGTCATGTTTCTGATTTTATATAGTTTGTTTTGGAAGAGTAATTCGGCTGAAAATAAAGCAAACTCATTTTTTAATTTAGTGTCCAGGCTTGCAACATTGTTTTTCTCTGCTTTATATTTGTAGTCTAATGTTTCATAAATTATTTAGGAAAATAATTAAAGTTTCTGTATTTGGCAAAACAGGTTTTTCCTATTTGGTAAACTAATATAGCTGGGTACGTTTACCAGGGTTTTTCCCCTCCTTCCCTTTCAGAAAGCATATGTACATGTTGTCTATTAATAATAGAGTATCAGACTTCACCACTTACTGCTTTAAAAAGTGTATTTACATTAAGCTCGAACCTGATTTCTGTTTATGCTGAAGCTAGTTCAAAGAATTTTTTGTTATGTAGGAATTAGAGTGAACATGAAAGTTAAACACGTACTTTTTCTGAAGTGGAAAATGAAAGAATCGGCTACATGGGCTTAGGTTTCTAAGTATGAGAAAAAGACATTATGGCAACCTTTACAGCATCCAGATGTGTGTGGGAAAGAGACAAAAAGTGTATGTGCACATCATGAGAGAGTGGAGATATAAGTTTTGAAGAGGACTATTGTTAGAAGTGAGATGTTTGAAATGCACGAAGAGAGATGGCACAGGAATCTTTTATGCATGTGTGGGTTTCAAGTGTTAGAAGTAATCAAAGTGTTTTGCAGTGACCTCAGTGCTAGGTTTCCTTCTTCCTCCAAGCAGGCAGGAGAGAATAAAGTGAATTCATGTGCTTTAGTTGCCTGAATCAGTGCCTGGATCTTCAGCCTTTGCTGGCATGAGTTGTCCCATCAATTGCAATGGGACTGCTCGTGTATGTAGAGCTTCTTGTAGATAAGTTGGTGTTACCAGGGATTTATGAGTTTGAGCTTAATGTGGGCTTTGGAAAGGACAGAAATTTGCCTTTGTGGTCGCCGCATGATTTGCATTTTGTTTGGATAAAGCCCGTCCCATTGTCCTTTCACACAGTGTGACTGTGTGAGGCAAAAAGCTGCTCTTCAATCAGTATTGTTATATATGAGGCAGAACGCAACTGGTGTATGTACTGTATTCATATGCATTTTGAAAAATCATACTTTTATGCTCTTATAAATCTACAGCAGTTTTAAGTGCTGTCTTGGCTCCATTCCAGTGTTTCTGGGAATAGTATTTGACCATTTCTTAGGGGTAGCAATAGGTACTTTAATGTGCTGAGTTTCTTTTACCTTTCACTGGCACTCACCTATGAAAGTTCAAGTTGAGGGTGAGAGTATCAGGAGAAATATGTGGATGAAGCAGCTAATGTCTTGATGTAATAAAATAATTGCCAAATAGGGAGGGGATCCAGAATGTTTCTCAGTGATTCCTACTGGTAAATCACAGTGAAAATGTTGGTAATTAAAAATCCCGCCTGGTGGTTGTAGATGTTATGTTTTCCCTCTTTCCTCCCTTTTTCCTTCTTTTTTTTCCCCCTCATCTGGTTGCCCCTCTCCTTTTAGCCTTTTCCTCCCATTTAAAAAATATGGCTGCAACCTGAATTGACTTGTGTTTTCTTTATGGGAGGCAGGATCAGAGGCTGAAAAAGAAAAAAGTGAAATAAGGGAGTGTATGAAGTTATAAGTGCACCACAGGTTTAAACAGAAATCTATTGCTTGAGTGGAGTCAAGATGGGTTGAAACGTTTAATGGCAATTGCTTCTTTTATACAAGCCCCTCTGCAGACACCGTGAAAAAGAGAGAACGGTGTGTTTCCTTCAAGTGTATCATTTTTGTGTGGTATTAATTTGGAAAATAAAGGTTGTAGAAGCATGAAGTGTGGGAGAAAAATAGAAAAGAAAAAGGTAATGGGAAAAGTGTTTGGTCCCAGCATTTTAGGCTGCATTGTGTGGAAGGCTCCGTTTTACCTTCCTTACTGTAGTGGGTAATTGTAAGGAATGGGATTTTTACTGATGTTAATCAAAATATATAAATGAGAGACTTCAACTAGGCACAACAGAGAGGGTATGTTTAATAGTTGTAGGCCGTAGTACTCAAATATAACAAACTATATTCAGTGCTTGTGGCAATCTTAATACATATATTACGAATTAAAAAGCTACTGTTTTCTTTTCTAGTTCAACTTGATCATCACCAGAACAAACTCTACAAGAGATGGTAAGAGGTCTTTATGGGTTTCTACGTGATAGCTTAGTTACATTTAAATACAAAATGCATACAAACACTTATTGAACTGTGAATGCAGACATGTAAAAATTAGATGTGAAAGTAGCTAAATTGCTTTGAAAATGGAATTCAGATTACAACAATGAGTGATTTGTCTACTCCTGGGAAGACTCCAGAGACATAATAGGAAAATAACAGAGGACTCTGATCATTTGCCTTAGATTTATAGCTTTTGTTTCCTTGAGGAAATCTCTTATTTCCATTTATTCCACAGCTGAAAAAGCACAGACACAGAACTAAGTTAGACTAAAAGTGTTCCTTTCCCTTTTCCACCCCAATGCAAAACATTTCTGTAATTTCTTTTTTAACAGATGTATTTTTAAAATTCAAATGTAAGAGGGATTTTCAAGGGTCACTTCCAACAAAGAAAACCCACAAAAAGTAGTTGGACAAGCACCAGGATCACAGTTCTGTCTACATGAACTGGCTTTTTGTCTTTCTTTCCCCTAAATTAACAACTGGAACTAGTCAGCTAGACAAATCAACCAGCTGGATTCCAGAGCTTTCAGTAAGGTCATCAATGCCCTTTTTAGAAACATTGTAAAAGAACTGGAGAAAATTTTTGAGGTTTAAAAGAATATACTGTCTTCTTTGGAGATACACAGAATGTAGGAGATACCTGCTTTTGTCAAGCTTTATGGTGTTTCAAAACTGGATTTTAAGGTATTTTAATATTTAAGGTAAAAAATAGACAAAATGTTTTAAAAGTAAGCTGTGAATGTGTTAGATTTGATAACAGGACATTCTCATCTGTCTACTGAAGGATGAGGAGTCAGTGTGACATTCTTAAGCAAAGGGAAACAGTAATTAAAACATAGTTCATCCTAGCTTTTAGATAGTTTGATGATTAAGAATGAAGAAATTCCATATGGAAGGCAGATGCTTTTCTCATGCCCACTCATTTTGGGAATAAATAATCTAAACTTCATGATCTGGTAGCAGTGTAATGTTAGACCAAGAGGAGACTAACAATGAAGTTTCAACTGCATGAATTCTTACTTTTCAGGAAAGATAAGTTGTGTGCACTTTTAAATTATGTATCTGAGCTCCATACCCCTTCACAAATACGTTGTAGTTTTTGATCAGAAATATCTTAAGGAATGTAAGTTTGTTGTGGTGGGTTTTCTCTATGTAGTCTGTTAGCTGAAGGTATTTTGTTTCTGAGAGCACTTAGCAATGACCTTAAAAAGAGATAGCATTTATTAATTTATAGTTACAATTATTATTCCAAAGTCACTAGTATTTGCATTATTACCTGAGAAGCAGAAACTGAAAACAAATGTAAGTAAACTAAGTTAACCTCTCTTGATAGTGTTAGCATTAAATGGAAAGTATTTCTTGGGTTTGTTTTTTATGTTTTGCTTTGGGATTTTTTTTTCCCAAAGAATCATTCTTTTAAGACTATAGAATGGTGCCGATCAAGGAAACAGACTTAAAGATTTTTGTCTTGTATGTCCTTTAAAAAAAAACCTTAATAAAGGACTGTAAATGTCATATTCATCTCTGAAAACCTCAGTTAATCTTGCCATAGTTTTGAGTGTTTGCCAGAACATGACTTAATTAAAATTTTTCAATTTGAAGTACAGGCTTTCCATTTTAGCCCAGATAAAACATTTTCTGTGGAAATTAAGACGTGGGGGGAAGGAAAAAAAAGATTTGCTGTTTAGTTTACTTTATGGCCTTCTTTTAAGATCCTTTATTATTGCACTTTTTGAGAGTAGGATGAGAAGGGAGATGAAATGGCTTGTATGAAGGGAGCTTAAGACTAGAGGGACTGTGGGGCTTTGTAGTTGCTGGTGAGGTGAAATCTGAACAGCGTAAAACTGTTTTTTTAGGAAAACTAAGATTTGCTGGAAGACAGGAGAAAGTGTGTTACAGTATGTTTCGTTCTATAGAACTTTTTCTCCTTACTTTATCAGTGACACTTAATTACCTCTTTTCATGTTTTGGTTGCTGATGAGTACAAAAGGGAGATTTACTGGCAGCTTGCATTTGACCAAATACAGTCTTGTTTTTGATCGAGGCAATGATGGATATATGAACTTGTCTGAATTGCCATTTGACCTTTTCTGAGAAACTTTGGCAGGCAGAGACAGGAAATATGTTACTGGATAAAATGAATGCCTTTGTTTAATATGGAGGAATTTTAATCTCCTGTGTTTTTTGTCTGCGGATTTGAAAATCAGGTGTGGGTTGTAATACCTACACCTTGGAACGATTCAGTTCTTACAACTCACGCGAGTGGCTAAGGAATTGTGGAATATATCCACACAGCACATAACCTAAAAAGAACTGATTCCCACTGTAGTAGCATGAACACTTGGAAAATACCTTCTGGATACTACAACTCCTCTGTTGCTAGTTCTTCACTGGTAGTTGTGTTGATGCAAAAACAATCTCTTGTAGGAGTAATGAAGTGTAGGAAGTAATGCACGTGCACTGTGTTGTCGTTTTTCAAGTCTGCACGTTTTATCATAGGTAAAGGATGACTAGTGATTAAAAGACAGAATTGTGCTTGCATTTACAGTGTTTCTCCCTTAATTATTGTTTTTCTCTCTCTCTTTGTTTGTGGCTCTTTATTAAAAAAATAAAAGGGGGGGTTCAGTTTTTTTTTTGTCTTTCCCTCTCCCCCATGTTTTGGCCACAGGAAGACACCGAGCCGTGGTATTCTCAGAAGGTGTACACGAGATACTGGAAGCACTATAACTTAGCCATGCGCTGGATGCGGAGGCACCAGAAAGCCTACAGGAAAGCCATGGAGTCCTTTTATCACCTACCGTGGCATCCTCCTGCAGCCTCTCCAAGTAGCCACTACTCAGACTGGGATAGGAATGATCTCCCACATACCCGAAACTATTCTTCCCACTGTCGACCACATGGCAGAGCTCTGTATGGTGGGGGAGCTCAGCAGTGCACAGGTGCCCACCGAGGGAGGGAGGATGCTGAAGAACTCTCTGAAATGGAGGAGGATGCTGAAAGAGACTCCAAAATGGAAGAAGGCTCTGAGTCTGAAGGGGAGATAGAGTATGACTTGAGTAACATGGAGATCACAGAGGAGCTTCGCCAGTTTTTTGCAGAGACGGAGAGGCACCGGGAAGAGCTGCGTAAGTCCATACTTGTTCTGTGTTTTCTGGTATTTGATGGCCATAACACGGAGTGCAGGATGGCTTCAACTTTTACAAGTTTTGCAAGAATTCTCAGAAATAGGCACTGCAAGTGAGCAAGCCAAGCAGAATGAAGTAGGCAAAACTGATGGCTGCGCTTCAGTACCATTTATTAGAAATAAATCTGTGAAAATGCTTGAAAGTTTTTTGGTGAGGGAGAGAGAGAGAAAATTATGACTGCAAAGAAGATAATAACGCATTTGTTCAGAGGACAATATTAATCTTCAATGCTGAAGAAAAAAAACAGTATTTTTATGGTTAAATCTAGTTAGCATGCTATATTTCTGAGAGGGGAACCCACAGGAAATGCTTTATTACATCGCTGAACCCTAGAGTAAGCCTCAGTGTATTTTATAATGTGGAGCAGCCATTTTGTTTGTTATTCTTTGGCTAACCTGACAGTAAAATTTCGTGACCCTTTTCTTTCCCCCCTGCATCCTTGTCATTCTGTACTGTACCACAAGTTTCTCTTTGTTTCACATCTTGATCTGGACCCAGGTCCTTTAGGAGGGATTGTAAGCCAAAGACTTAAGATTTTTCTCAGGTCTTGATCCTCGGAGGTATTGGTCATCTTGTTTCTGTGAAATCCTTAAAAGAAACAAAGGATTATGCTGTACTTTGTTAACACTTTACTCATATACAGATGTTGCAGGCAAATTTACATGCTCTTTTAAGAAAGCAGAACGATGAAAATAACTTTTCACACATGAAAATGTAGTAAATGCCCAGAATGAATGCTTAATAGAGGTTTCTCTGAAAGAGAAAATGTTCTAAAAAGGTATAATAAAAGGAGGGAAAGACAGAAATGGTTTTATTTTGAGTTCTTTGATTAGAAGGTATCCGATGAGCTGAAACAATTCAGCCTAACTTCACACTTCTCATCAGTATGATGCACAGTTGATACAGTTAGCAGAGGAAAGTGAGTTAAGGAGCTCCGTTGTAGTGCCTGACATGAATCCCTTTCTCATCATGCTTTTGCAGAATCAGCTTAGTGTTCTCTGTTGAAATGTTCCTTTGATGAGGTACATGATGCTTTAAGGTGCTGGGCTGCTTCTGGAAATGCAGAACATTTTCTTTGGATTTATTTTGATTGTTATGGTTAGTGGTGTTTAAAGGTATGCGAGTGATTAAAGCGGTATATTGGGAATTGGGAGATCTGGGCTCAGAGATGTTCTCTGTTGCAAATATCCTGTATGACCTTGGTATAGCTATTTAATCTCTTCCTGACCCCTTGCTGGCTGCTCTTGCTAAAAATATGATTTAGTTCTTTGTGATGAGCAGGTGAATTGGGAAGAGGTTTGTGACTCAGAATACAGATTTTACTGCTTTTCCTTCCACCACAGTTGTACTTGGAGCCGTTTGGAAGGATTAGGTCTCTGCTGTGTGCTATGTAACAACCTAGTTCTGCATAAGTGTAACTCCATTCACTTCAGTGTCACCGTGGCAGATCTTCATGCAAATTTAAGTGGGCTCTGGTCTTTAGCTACTGCATGCCTCAGTTTCTTTAGTAGCTTCCCTGACAAAATGAGGATTGTACTAAGTAATTGTCTATAATTCCTCAAAGCAGGAAAAAGTAAAGAAGTACTTGATTTAATTGAAATTTAGAAGTGCCACAGAAGTCTTGGGTGAATGGTGCTATCTAAATGCTAATTTTGTGAGTAATTAAAAATACATTATGATCTTGCTCAGAAATAATTTTTTTGTGCATCGTGAGGGAAAAGGAAATAATAAATTTTTTATTCTGTTGAAGTTTCTCAAAGAAAAACATAAGCACCAAGGAGCAGGGGAAAGTCATTATTTCCCTGATGGTGTCGAAGTGAGCTTGTATGGAGTTGAAGGCAATACTACTGTACTTTAAGAGGTAGTTTTACTAATTTTCCTGATTGCTGTTTATGAACAAAATTAAATGTAGAGGTTCATTAAGCTGTGATCCATAATGATGCTATCATGTTATATCTTTCATACTGTGCAGAAGAACAGTTGTCATTCTTTATTGATGCTTGAGAAGATGGAGATAATGCATCCACAAAAGAAATCCGTGGTTATTTCAGTATTTTCTTCTTAATGCCTTTTCCTTTTAATCCCAAACTGCATGTCCTGGGCTGCCTCCTCTACCTGAGGAGCAGATTTGTAGAGAAACTTGGGCACTGTAAACCTCAGAAATGCCTGAAATTTAGGCCTCCATGTCTGAAAGAGGCATTTGTGATGGTGAGGTAAAAGTTTTACATATTTTTTGAAGAGAATGGAAATGTTTGGGTATATCAAAGTGGAATACCAACAGAGATCTTGATGATCAGTTGAAGTGTAAGCCACCTGTTAGGGAACATTAAGGGAAAGGCTGTGCCTCATGTTTTCTTCCTCTGGCATAAATAAAGGGCTCCAGGTGAAATTCACAGCCTTTGACCCCTGCACCTTGATATTCACTTGAGAAAAGACACCCAGCATGCTCTTCCATTAGAAGAAGAGTTTGCAAGAGTTTGATACATGTTTATCTGCAACTTACATGGGAAAAAAACAGCAATGGGACAAATAGAAAATGGAATTTGGCACATAAGGAAGGGGATACTAATCTTTGTGAAGGATAAGTTCTGTTAGTCTGGTGTTTTTCAAGCCCTGCAAAATTAGGAAATACTACACAGCATTAATGCAGGTGTTTTGGACACGCATAGTGAGAGTCTGGATTTTCCAAGTAAGATATAGTTGGTTCCCACACATGATCCACATCTTGTCAGCATGTAGAAGGATAATCAAATAGACTAAAATGAATACTAGCTGATGTCAGACTCTTCACTTAAAATGCCTGATCTAGGGCCTGCTGGAAGTGAATGTGATCACAGACATCAGATCTTGCAAACTTTAACTGTAAAAAACTTAAATAAGCCTGAGATGTAGGTGGCAATGAGATGACTCAAAGATCTTGGAGGTGTTTTCCAACCTTAGTGATTGTATGATTCTCTGGTTCTATGAAAGACCTTTGTGCCTGGATAGTGACATACAAGCCTTAATGCTAACTGCAAAGAGAAAAGTTTCAGAGATAAGAAAGCGATTGTGTCAGACTAGCCAAAGAAGAAAACTTCAGGTTCATTTCATTTTTTGGTAACTGCCGCAAACTTGAAGAACAAGCAGATTCCTTACTTCAGTAAGCAATTGTTTTGTTTTGTTTTCATAGTGGGCTTTTGCAGTGATTGGCTGACTTGCAAAGTGAGGGCTTTGAAACTGGCAAACTTGCTGCATGATTTAGCACTTCTGCAGTGATACAGTTCACAAGCAACCTCTTCTACAGCAATCTCTTTTTTTTTGCCTTGAATTCATGTCAAATTCTTACTTGGTTTTGTATTCATGTCATGTGTTCCAGTCAAGTTACATGTTCCTGGAATGTCCAGAAGTAATTGCAAACAACGTTTTGCTGAGGCTGTATGAACTCAGACATACTAATACACTACAAACTTATCTAGATATATGGTGCATTTGGTTAAAATTCCTTACAGACAATTTTAATTCCCTTCCTCTTCAGTTGTGTCTTCATACACAATCATAATTATATAGTGATTCTCCCTTTTTAGAGGATTTTCTTGTCAGGCTAGTCTGTTGTTGTTCTGGTTCTTCATGTAACTGGGGATCCTAATAGACTATGCTCCTTGGGGGTATTTTTAGTTGCATTTAAAAGTCTTCCCTCTGGCTGTTGGAGAGCATGAAGTTGTTATCCTGGGTTACCATACCTGTCAAACCTAGGTAGGGTACCAAATTCTCCAGGCATCCAGGACATAAAGGACAGAATGCAGTAAGTTGCCTTTTATATTTGCAAGAATTAAAAGGGCAGAAACCAAGAAAGGAAGATTCACAAGCCTAACAATTCTGTAAAATGTCTAATTGCACATATTTATTACACTTTTAAATGTAGCTTTTGAAACATGTAGTTTGTCCTTATGTAGTTTTTCCTTGTTCCCTTTTACATAAAAGAGAAAACACTGTAATTGGGTGAGTGCAGCATTGCGAGTACATTGAGAACCATTCTGTAGTAGTTAACAGGAAATGAGACAGTGTCCTTTATTTAAAAACAAAGAAAAGGAAGGGAAAGTACCATCATGTCAGTTCATTACTGAAGGATAATAGTCTGTCATTTGTTAATGCTCTGAATAGTTTTTTCCATTAAAGCTTCTTTTTGTATTGCCCACACATACCCTCCAGCTTTTCCCAAAAATATTGTTGTCTCAACTTAAAATTTTCATGCTAAATGGAAAACTTTTCTTTAAAAAATGAAAGGAAATGGTGGATGAAGATGTTTCTTTCGAAACTGCAATTTGTAGGTTTTTTTCCCTCAGGTTTCTTTTTCTCTGAAAGACTGTTGTTGCCACTGCCTCTTTCATGAAGAAGGAGTAATGGAATTTTCTGTGTTTTGAAATTTGTTTGAATTGTACCGGATCCGTGAAGCTTTTGGTTTTGTTTAAGGCCTGCATGCAGCTTTGGAAAAAAGACTTTGATTCAGGGAGTTTGCAAGTACGTTTTCCTTCTTTCCTTTGCTTTTGGTAAATGTTTTTGCCCTGTTTTGTCTTTTTCTCCATCAGACTGTAGCTCAAATTCTTGAACTACGAATTCCTGGTCTCCAGCATTTCTGTTTCTTCCTCCCTGCCCTAAGCTCTCCAAGCATTGTGGATGGTGAACTTACACATATCTGATCAACTTCTTTGGCTTTATCAGCCTTGGCGGACAAACTTTTTGACGGCCAAAAAGCTTTGTTTGGCATGAACTTCCACCACAATCTTTAGAAGTTGAGTTGCTGAAGCTTCTGAGAAATGCCTGTGAAATAAGAGCGCTCTCTGCAATGTGTGTGGGTGCTTGAGATGCTTTTGAAACATGTTTTTATGTGAGCTGAAGAAGAAATGTGAAAGTCACTCCATTTGTACCACACTCCGATCTTGATGATTGAACCTTTTACTGTG